AAAGAAAATAGCTGGAATTTAAAAAAAAATAAAAATTTATAATCATTTAATTTCAGCACATTTAAAATATTGACTTTATTTGTTTGTTAGTTAGTTTGGACGGTCGTGTTTATTTTATTTTTTTTATTTTGTTTTGACTGAATATTTTTTTCTCTCCATATTTTTTAAGCATTTAAATGTAACAAAAATTACCATACGAAATATTACTTTAAAAACAGAATGAACAAGTTCATGTTTTAAAATTGATATGAGAGATCTAGAGAAAGAGAAAAGGGGGTTACATCGGATCCAGTTTATTACATGTAATATATGTATAAAGAAATGTGAAACTTTAGTGAGAAGATGGATTTTCAAAACAATTTAATTATCAAAAAATGAAATGAAATCCTTGATTTCAAAACTATGCCTATAAATCAAATAAATCACCAAATCATTAATAAAACTAATGTTACTAATTATTCACCCACTCCCACTTTTCTTTGTGATCATTATAAATTTTCAGGAACTCAAAAATTTAATTTTTTTGGTACCCGTTTAATGCGTTTCTATGAAGGTCAAGGATTTTAAGTATCATCTGCAATGTTCTCTGGCATGGGGCAGACTGAATTTCATTAAAACTTCATTTGGATTGATAACAAATTTGTTTTATTTATTAAGCTTCGACATAACTTACATTAGAATTTCATACGAGAAAAAAACTGAAGGGGGAGGGAGTGTTGAAATTCTAAAATTCTTTTTGACACCATTAATCAATAACAATATACCTCCATGTACCACTTTGCGAAAATCTGTCATTTCAAAACTCGGCCGTTGAGTCTGGAAATATGACATACATGTAATAGACACACTTTACTGGAAATGCACATTATGTCTGATTTCCAATTGAATATAATTAAACTTGAACTATAAATTACACAGAGTTTCTAAATCATTTTTATTTTCGCAAAATGAAATTCAATTGTTATTCTTCGGTGCCATTTCCTTCATTGATCAATAGCAGTCAAGTTCCTACTTCCGGGCAAGTGGAGCCCGGCCAATGATCGATGATTTGTTTATGAAAATGACATTGTTTATACTTATATAAAGAGTGATAAAGGTGTCAAAAAAAAAAAAAAAAAGATTGAAGAATAATTTCCCATTGTTATTTTTAAACTAGAAAGGTGGTTTAAATTGTTGTGTGTGTGGGTAGGCTTGCACACCTTAAGAAAGCTTTTGAAAAATGCTATCAAGCTCATATTAACTATAAGTATGTCATTAAACTTTTTATCTTCAACCCTACCCACCCCATCCCCAAATAATCATCACATGAAATACTGGAATTGCCCCTTAGTTAATTCATGCATGTGAACTGTAACTCATTTAATAAGCCTGTTTATAAGTAAATAATTAAAAATGTTCAATGCTGGAATTGAAAAAGGGCAATGTGTCAATTAAAATAATGATTATTTTATTACCATATGCAAGACAGAAGTCCTTCCGAGTCTTTGTTTAAAAGATTTTGTTGAATATTGCTTAACATTCAATGTATCTACAGTGTATCGACTTAATGTCCTTAAAATTGTTGGATGTAAGTAAATAATTACATTTCCCATTTTTTCTCTTAATCATGTTTATATTTAGAAAAAAAAAATATGTTTTACACTACCTGGTAGCTTCTAGATTACTGTTGTTCCCTAGGACGTTTTTTTTATTTTCACCTTTGGGAAGATTTTCAGATTTATACTTATTTCACATGGACTTGGGAAACGGGGGGGGGGGGGGGGGGGGGGGGATCCCCCACCCCCAATAATTTTTGCTGAATATAGAATACTACAGAAAGCTACCATATGCTTGTGCCCCCTCAATAATAACGCCTGATGACCCTTTTTTTTTTTTTTGCTTGTCGAAGAATTTTTGGTATTGATAGTGCCCTCCCCTCCCCCTCCCAACTGAAAATGTATGGTATGTGCCCATTCCCCCAGCTGAAAATGGTATTGCTTCCTACGGGCCTGTTTTAAACATCACAAAATTGATATCTTGGCCCATCGAGAGCCATATTTAAAATGAAATGACTTTCGAGTTAATCCTATTTCTCCTATTTCCTATACATTTCCAAAACAATTCTTGTTCGGAAGTCGCACGCTTCAGCTGAAGTCTAAATTCTTGTCGTCCCAACATGAGCGAAGTGTACAACAAACTACTCAAACACTCATAATTCTATACCGTTGATGGAACTACTTAAAACAACTACATGTATTTATAAATTAAAGAGAAAATGAATTAAAAAAAAAAATGATTCGTTACACACTATATTAGTAACGTTACAATAAAAAATCATAGTCACGTTCACTCCAAAAACGTTTGACGTTAGTGCAAAAATAACATGACGTCATGATTTCACTGTTGAAGTATCATTGATATAAATGAAGAAAAAACATACTTAGAGTTGGAGGAAGGCCATAAAAATTCAGATTTGACAACTCCTAATCTTGTTCTATAAAAATCCATGAAAAACTCAAAATGTGTAAAAATTGCCATAAGCACCCTTTTCCCATGGGCGCAATCAAATATCTCAGATGCTTACTGACTTAAATTGCTAAACTTTGTCAGTTGATGCATCTTGAGTCTTCGGAAAACATAACCAAAAAGTAGATCACTGTGACCTACTTTTGAAATTTTAAGGCTGTATTTAAACATCTCAGGTACTAAATAGATTAGAATCATCAAGCTTCGTCAATTGAAGCATATTGGGTCCTCGGAGAACATCAACCAAAAAGATCACAGTGACCTACTTTTGAAATTTTATGGCTATTTATAAATATCACAGGTACTTATTGGCTTAGAATCATCAAACTTTGTCAATTGATGCATCTTGGATCTTCAGAGAACTTCAACTGAAAAGTAGGTCACCATGACCTACTTTTGAAATTTTATGGCAATATTTAAAAATTTAGGGTACTAGTTGGATAAGAATCATCAAACTTTATCAGTTGATGCATCTTGGGTCCTCAGAATGTGTCGTCTAAAAAGTAGGAATTTTAAGGCATTATCTAAATATTTCAAATAATAAAAGTCTTAAAATCATCAAACTTTCTCATTTGAGGCATTTTATGGTCTTGGAGTATGTTTACCAAAGAGTAGGTCACTGTGACCTACTTTTGGAATCTTGTAAGCTCATGGCTATATCTATATATTTAAGACAATAAGTGGCTTCGAATTAACACATTTTGTCATTTGATTCATCTTGGGTTCTCAGAGTGTTTTAACCATAATGTAGGTCATGATGACCTACTGTTTGGAATTTCAAGGCTTTATCTAACTACACAGAATAATTAGAGGCTTCAAATAGAAGTGATAGGTTGTGCAATTTATCCGAAGAGTGATTCAAGGCCCTTGGGCCTCTCATTAGTGGGTGTTGCTGTAGTTCTCAGGTCGTCAATCCTTATTTTTTTTCCCAGACCAGCAAGTTACAGATCTACAGCTAATTAATAATATGCAAGCTAATTAATAATTTGCAAGTATTCTCAGGTTTTGCAGATTAAAGTTTGTTCAAATCATGGCCCCTGAGCTGGGTTACAGTGGGGTTATTCAGGGAATATAGAGGGAAAAATTTTAATTTCTTGAATTTTCTTCATAAGAACAATAGAGCCATGATTTTGTGATACTGATGTGGAAGTTTCATGTACATTTTCAGTGATTTTTGTAGGGCCAATTTGGGGCCAAAATTTGGCCTCAGTCCCAATTGAAAATGTATTTTCCCAAAATGTAGTGGAAGTTTTCCCAAAGAAAAACGTACAAAATATGTGATCAAATTCAGTTTCTTTATTGCATGTTTTTCAGTGAAGTTCAAGCAGGTTTCGTTGTTCAGCCATGTTGGATTTCTTCATAATTAGATAATTCATACCACTATTGTTCTTGATGCAAGTAATTAGATAATTCATACCAAGAATAGTCTTGATTTGTTATAACAATTTTTTGTTAAAAGTAACACAAAGACAAAAACAAAGCTTTTTGACAATGCTTTTTCAGTGACTGGGTTTCTGGGAGATTCCCAATTTAGCCTAATTGAAGCTGAAATTCCCAATTCTGAAGGCCCCAGCCCCCAGTCCAAAAGTACTGAAAAAAAAAACTCATCTGAACTGAAATCTCAAGTGAGCTTTTCTGATCAACCATTGTTTGTCGTCCGTTCATCTGTCTGTCTGTCCGTCTGTAAACTTTTCACATTTTCAATTTCTTCTCAAGAACCACTGGGCCAATTTTAACCAAAGTTGGTACAAAGCATCCTTGAGTGAAGGGGAGTTAAAATTATTAAAAAAGGGGCCTAGCCCCTTAAAAGGGAAGATAATCAAGAAAAATTAAAAATAGGGTGGAGTCATTAAAAATCTTTTCTAGAACCATTGGGCCAGAAAAGCTGAAAGTTACATGGAAGCATGCTTGAGAAGTGTAGATTCTAAATTGTTCAAATTATGACCTTCAGGGTAGATATAGAAAAAAATCTTTAAAAATCTTCTTCTCAAGAGCCCCTGGACCAGAAAAGCTGAAACTTATATGGAAGCATCATGGGGTAGTGTAGATGGTTTATTGTTCAAATCATGACCCCCAGGGGTTGGGTGGGACCACAAAAGGTATTACAAGGGGGAAAATCTGGTGAAGAACAGCAGGGCCAAAGTTACTCAGGTGAGCATTGTGGCCCATGGGCCTCTTGTTTTAAATCATGACCCTGGGGCAACAATAGAGTATCAGTGGGATTTTTTTTTTTAAAATTATGTAACAACAGCATGGTCATAATTAATCATATTAATAGTTGTGCAAGCATCTTCAGGTAGTTAAGAATAATCAAATCATGGCCCCCAGTGGTAGGATGGGGCCAAACTGAAAAAAACTACAGTTCTAAGGTGAGAAAGTGAGCATTGTGGCTAATGGGCCTCTTGTTTTGTTAGGTATGGTATGAATATTAAAATTGCATAGTGTTATCAAGTATAATTACAGATTTAAAAAACTGAGCAATTGTCTTGTTTCAGATTTCTATACCATTCATTCCTCCACCTTTCTACAGACCTGGACTCTTACAAACCTACATTGATAAGATTAAATCCTATGGAGTACGGATAATATGGATGTTCATGATTCCTCCCTTTATGGCCTTTATTCTGTGTGAAGCTAGAAGGTATATGTACAACATTTTAGCTTCTTAGCTAAAGACTCAAAGAGCTAATGTTACATGGCCATTTGTGTGGTGTGCATCAACTTTCTGGAATATGGGCCATAGCTCAAGAACCCCTTGGTCAATTTGTCAGCAGTGTTTTTTATTCCTTTATATAACTGGTACTGATAATCGGTACCTTCACAATGCCAAAAACCATTAATTTTTCCCAATTTTGAGACTAAAAATTACCAATTAAACTGCCAAGGAACAGACTATGATGATATCCTAATTCTTTTCATATGAAACATTGTATGAGTTAACTAAATGTTTAACTTCCTCTTAAATTGAAAGTTGAGATCAGTGGAAATATGGTGGGACGTGTGTTGTTGACAGCGTAGTCATGCTAGTGTCTTACATTTTTGACAACTTGGAAGCATGACAATGTGAGAACAAGGGAAATTAATATGTAAAACAATGAATACTTAATGGTTTTTCTTTAAAGCATGAATTAATAGGTAATGAGGTTAGAATAAACAGTAAACATTCAATATTTCATTTGTTGACATGACAGAAAAATGCAGTTTGTTCTATTTCAAAGCTATTTTTCCCAATTAAATTGGTACTGGACCCATTCCTAATGGGTAGATAAAATTGCTGGTCAGAGTGTCCTTGACCCATGGGCTTTCATTTATCTCAGAACATGGATGTGAACAAGGAGAGATAATTAGGGAAAAAACTGAAGTAGTGGTTGCTATAAAATCTCAAGAACATATCGACATATCATCATACTTACTCATGAGGATGAGGATATGTTGTTGATTAAAAATTGATCAAGGCATCACCGTGGGGCAAATGCATGGTCTCAAGTCACTTCAAAGTTGACTTAAAATAATATATTGTTATGACTGAAAAAAATATAGAAAAGAAAAGAAAAAAATTGCCCACTATAAGGACTAGGATCATCAAATCTTGTTAGTTGATGCATCTTAGGTCCTCATGTCATGTTTGGACACTTTAAGTCTAATCATCAAAACTTGTCAGTTTATGCATCATAGGGCCTTGAAGTGTGAAAAAATAAGTCACTGTGACCTACTTTTTGAATTTTATGGTCTTCATTTTCAAAAACTTTTACATGAGAAGAAGACACGTGCTGTGGCCTTCACCTGGAAATTTAGATATGTCAACAGTGTATTATCATTAACAATAGTCAGTTGATTCAATACTCAAGAGCATGCTCCACATATGAACAATTTCTAAAATGAGCAAGCTATTGACAAACAAGTTGATGAAACAAGGATATCAAAAGTCTCGTTTAAAGACATCATTTCACAAGTTCTATGGTCAATACAATGACCTTGTCAGCCTACACAGTTTATCAATAAGTTGTTTTTCATACTAATATGCTAGTTTAGAGATTGTGACTTTCCTACAATAGAGGCGCAAAAAGTATCCATATCAGAATGGAAGTGGGATAGGTTGTTAATGTATACAAACTTGAATGACTAAAAGAACGATGACTCTGGCTTTTAAAATTCATTTGATGTTATAAAAAGATTATAATGCTAAGCAGTGATCATTTTTATGACTTTGTAAAGCTCTTCTATACATATTTACAAAATTTACTTTCAGTTAGGATACTTGAAAACGAAAGATCCATCATAGCCTTCATAAAAAAAATAATTCTTTGATTGTACAAACCTTTTCTAAAATGTTATTGGGCTCTTTGAAGTTATTTTAAGGAAAAGAGTCATTCAGAATGCTGAAGTTCAATAATCAGATGCGTGTGTATTTACTAAAGATCCATATCTATTTCCTCATTTGACAAGTCTTATCCTCAGATATTTTCTTTTCCTATTTTTATTTTCTTTTGTTCCTTTTTTTTTGTAGAAAAAATTGATGCCTTTACTTTAATTCGGTAATAAGTACACCCGACAATCAGTTATGATAGATTGGTATATAGATGGTGTAATGTATCCAATATGAATAACTCCCACCTGCCTGGTACGCGGAAACAAAACTTCCCTCCGTAACGAAAGAGCACACCAAGGGAGGTAATCTCGAAACTTGCGTATTGTTATGCCATTATTTAAACACTGAATTGTCAACAGATTTTCCCGTTTGTCCAGTTATGACAATGAGCACATTGCAGGTGTGAACTGTGAACAGGGGATGCTTACTCCTCCATGGCACCTGATTCCACCTCTTATGTTTTTTAGAGGTCAATGTTTGCTCTGCTCCCGATTTGTATTGTTTCAGTGGACTTTTGATTACTGTTGTGTTTCATTTCAAAATATTTAGGTCATAATTTCAGATACTGAAAGGTTAAGAATCATCAAGCCTTGTTTTTTAGGTCACCTGAGTCACTCAGGTGACCTATTGCTATCCGTTTTTGTTCGTCAGCGTGCATTGTGCGACGTGTGTCGTGTGATGTGCGTTAACATTTGAACATTTTTAGCTTCTTCTCTGAAACCGCTCAACCAATTTCAACCAAATTTGGCATATAGCATCTATGGGTGAAGGGGAACAAAAATTGTGAATTTCACGATCCCTGCCCCCCTGGGGCCTGAGGGGTGGGGCTAAAACCACCAAAATTAATGCAATCTTTAAAAATCTTCTTCTTTACTCCTGGACATCAAGCAGTAAAACTGTTGGCATGAATGTAATAAGCATTGACCCCTCTACCAAAATTGTGAAATTCATGGCCCCAGGGTCAGGGGTTCTGGTGCTAGGGAGGGGCTATATAGATTATATAGTGAAAGTGCATTATTTCTTTGAAAATCTTCTTCTCTGCTCCTGGGTATTATATAAACTAACTAAGTATATAGTTATGATGAGTAAGAGTGCCTCTTTCAAAGTTGTGAATTCATGGCCCCAGGGGCAGGGGTTCTGGTGTAAGGGCGGGGCTCTATTGATTATATAGTGAAAATGCATTACTTCTTTGAAAATCTTCTTCTCTGCTCCTGGGTATTAAATAAAGTAACTAAGTACATAGTTAGGATGAGCAAGAGTGCCTCTTTCAAAATTATGAATTTCATGGCCCCTGGGTCAGGGGTTCTGGTGTTAGGGCGGGGCTCTATTGATTATATAGTGAAAATGCCTTAATTCTTTGAAAATCTACTTCTCTGCTCCTGGGTATTATTGAAGCAAATTAAATACATAGTTTTGATAAGCAAGGATGCCTCTTCCAAAATTGTGAATTGGGTCAGATGTGCTGGTGTGAGGGTGGGGCTCTTGATAATATAGTAAAAATGCATTAATTCTATTAAATAATCCTGTTTGCTCCTTGGTGTTAAGCAGATAAACAAAGTGATTAGTTATGATGAGCAAACTTATGGTCCCAGGGTCAGAAGCTCTGGTGTTGGGGGGGGGGGGGGGGCTCTATTGATAATATAGTGAATCTGTAGTAAAAATGCATTATTTCTTTAAAAATCTTTTCTGCACCTGGGCATATCAGAGGCAGAAAAAGTAAAAGTTTTAATAAGGAAGATTATTTTTACCAGATTTTTGAACATCTGGACCATTTGGTCAAGTGTTCTGATCCTGGCCAGGGCTCTATTATTTTGTATTCTACTGAGAGGAGTTATTCCCCTTTGCCATTTACTTTTGATAATTTATCACTGTAAATAATGTACTTGAAAGGTAAATAGAATAAGATAATTATGCAAAAACTTTTATTGTATAATACAAAAAGTACTTTCATAGTTTTAATGATCAGATAGACTTGTAAGTAGTAGATAAATAAAAATGAGACAAAAATAACTTGTCTTATTAAATGTTCATCAAGGACCAAGAGAGGCCAATGTAAGAAATTTCAACAAAAGATTAAAATAGTACAGAAGCATTGATAATTTGTTAATATTCTGTATGGTGATAGTGATAAATGGGGATCAGATTTATAGAACATAATTTATAAACTGTCAATGAATATTAAGACCAATTATTTTGTTGATCATGATCACCCTATTTTTCTTGCTTTTTGGCAACAAAGTTTCACCTTTCAGTTCATATTATACTCTATGCATCCTTTAAATTGTTGTATCATACTCAGGTGACCGTTAAGACCCTTGGGCCTCTTGTTTTATGGATCTTAGGGCCGGAAACAAAAAGCAAGTCATGGTGACCTACTTTTTGAATTCTGCAGGTATTTCATTTTCAAATTGTTTTGCTGATTTTGTTCACCGAGAATTCTAGGGTCATCAAACCTTTTCTGTTAATACATACTAAGTATGTACACCAAAATAGTAGGTCAAATTAATTGGCTATTAATTGCCTACTTTTGACTATATTTAAATATTTTAGATACTAATTGGCTTAGAATCATCAAACTGTGTCAGTTGATGCATCTGAGTCCTTGGAGAGTGTCACCAAAAGGTAGGTCACTATGACCTGCCTTTGGGATTTTCAAGCAGTATCTAAATATTTCAATTAAAGGTCAAATTCATAGGAAATAGACATTTTTGTAAATGATTTATGTTGTAAATAATAGTTAAAAAAGAGGGAATCACAATATTCGTAAAATTTTAAACCTCGTTCTTTTCTTTATTTACCTGTTTAAAAATCACTAAAAATAACGTTTATCAAAAGAGTTACTTCCTCTTTTTGTGATGTCATAAGAGACAATATCTAGTAATATAAAGTATAAGTAATATAAATATAACATAGTGCTCTCGATTATCTTAAAAAAAATGGCAGATTTTAGGGAACAGAGATGTTGATATACCAGAGGTAGATCTTTCAGTTAAGCCATAAGATAGTGCTCTCGATTATCTTAAAAAAATGTCAAATTTTAGGGAATGGAGATGTTAATATACCAGAGGTAGATCTAAACCTATCAAGGAAAGTACATGAAAATGATTAATCTTCTTCAACCGATTCTATTTCGTCCGAAGGCGGAGCCTTTGCAGACAAACAAATACGTAAGGAGAGAGGGAGAGAGATCCGGAAAAAAATTCATTCCCATCCAACAAATAACAAGTGTTTCGAATTATTTTGTGTCATACTGTTTTGATTTGAATTTTAAA